ATGTGTTAATTTAACATATTGCTGTTGTGTTAATGTTAAAATTATTAAAACAATTTTTAAAAAAATGTAAAAATAACACAATATGTATCTATTTTTAATTTTACACAATACATATGTTCTGTTTTATCAGTGAAAGAGATTTATCTGTTAAAATTTACAAAAAAAATTTATAATATAAGTGAGGATGATAAAATCTAAAATAAACATATTTTTCGTTAATTTTTACATTAAAACTATGTTAATTTTACACAGAATTTACTTTAAATTACTCAAAGTTTTACATTTATTTTGTGTGAAAATATTAACCGAGTATTTGTGTTTCCATTGAACACATCCATCATGTTAAATTAACACACAATTTCTGTGGACCGTTTAGGACATGTAATATCTGTTAAAAACGGAAATTGTTCAACTGTGTAATGGCTTGAATATTTTGCACGAAGAAAGACATTAGGTACGGAGAGAACGATTAATGCTGACATCATGTTTTCGGACACTTTGCGTTGTGTTTTGCTACTGTGTGCATTAGCACTGCTGTGTGCTGACAGGGCTCAGTCACGTGTCACGCGCGATAGGTGGAACCGCTCGCTTTGATCACTCCATCAGTATGCATTGCGGCATAATGGACATTTACGTAACGTGGCGTCATTTTGCCTACCGGCGACATACGTTCATCATCGTCCACGGAAAACTCTTCTTCGGCAAACTACAAATGCCGAACATGATCCACGCTGGCTTTTCGAAAGCGTGTCAAGGATGCGCCCAACGAAGGTCAGTCACTCTCGTGAAGTTTAGTCGGTCAACTCGAGTGGGCTGACTATTAAATCGCTCGTTCACTCGTTCGATGAAAAATGATAGGCCGATTAGAGACACCTCTATACGATCTTTAATATCGGAATCGCGTGGGTAATCGTTTTTCAATACGATCAGATGCGATAGAAAATCTCTAAAGCACGTATTTAATGATGCCGAACTTACGGTTTAATATTATATACAGGGTGTCTGACATAAGGTGTTACACCAAAAATATACAAGTGGATCTTATTATTTGAAGACAATTTTTCCTCAGCAAAAATATTGAGGCATCAATAATTTTCGAGTTATAAGCGATTGATAATGAAGGGTTTTTCTCAAGCTTTGTGGAAATAAAATATTAGTAAAATCACATTTTTCAATTAATTTCAAGTAGAGTTTACTTTAATAAAGTTTTAATTTAAGGTTTAGTTATAAAGATACATGATGGCAAAGAATGATGGCCTCCCTCGACATTTTTGCTGAAGAAAAATAGTCTCCAAATAACGAGATCTACTTGTATATCTTTGGTGTGACACTTTATGTGTCCTACTTATATATATATATATATAAATAACCTTAAATTAAAAAATTTACATGTATATATTTTACATTTGTATTTTATATTTGCGATAATAATCTATCTATGTAAAAGTTGGATTGTGCTGTAAAATTTTTTAACACAACATTTTTTGTTTTCCTAAATATGGAACAAACATAACGGCACGCTCGACATGATACATCGCGACGGGTATTAAGCTTAATAATGGCCGCTGGCGGATTTGTACATTCGAGCAACGGATTTAGCAGAGTGCGTTGTGAATGCGTGCATTGTGAAACAAACAATGGCGTAGACAGTGTCATCTAAATCCCTCGAATTCTGGCGAGCTTTTTATATTGCCATCTCTTAATTACGTCATATATACTTTTTCTCTCCCATTGCATCGTTCGAAAAATGTAGCGACCCTTATTGTTGTCACAATGAATTATCTATTACTACATTCCACGATAAATAACACGTTTTATCTCAATGTTATTTTAATCTGTTCTCAAGTAGAGTTTTATATAAATTAAAAGTTTTACTAAAAAAAAGTTTTTTTCAAGTCATCGAAAAAATACGAATTTATTAATTTTTACTGGTGCTATTGAAAATTATTTCTCATTAATTCTGCATGCAAGAAACTCTCTAAAAAGTTCGATATTATCATCGAGATTGAAGAGATTAAATTGTAATAATATCGAAACTCGAGTGATAAAAATTCTGATAGTCCGAGATCTGTTAATGGTTTCTCTAATGGAAGCAATTTCCTTTTTCTCTTTTTTTCCTATCTTGTAAACTCTGCGTGATAAGAAGCGACGTTGTGGAATCGAAAAAGTGGAACAGGGAGCAAAAGTCGGAGGTGTCTATTAAGAAGTCCGTTGAATATTAACGTGACGAAACATTTTCTGACGCCGCGGCGGTGCGGAGATTAACGAGGCGATTATTAAAATATGCAGTACGCCAGTCTAATTAGTCTGCCGACGAAACCAAGAAAGCGTCTACTTCGTTGGCCTTACTCGTCATCTTCCTCGGTTTTACAAAAGTCACGGACTCTGCCGCGATGCAATTTCGCCATATTACCTTGCTTCGCTCAATTTGTGCCAATGAATTGAAGTTGGTATGCATACTTTTTTATCGCTCCTCTTAATAGATTTACTTTTAACGAGGATTTCAACATTGGCAAGTTTTAATGACAAAGATTTCAATATTTGAGAACATGATAGTTTAATAACAGTAAGATTTCACTAATTAAGAATTCTTCTAATTTATACAGCAATAATTAAATATATATTTTTTATTATTGCTGTATAAATTTGCTGTGTAAATTTAAAAATCTTTTTAAAAGCAGAATATGAAAGTAAGAATCTTAGGATTTGCAAATAGATGAAACATATAAACATTGCAAAAGTTTGTTATGTCAAATTAGACAGAGACATACTTCCGAATAATTAGCGATTCTCGTGAGAAAAAGATATATACTTTAATTCAATAAAATTATAATAACATTATAATTCAATCTTACGGGTTTACTGAGGAGTAAACGCGCGTAAGATTAATTATGTTGCAATATCATACACTTTTTGGCAAAGATTTCTGTGATTCTTATGACATAATATCGTCATTCTCTATATTACTTATAGATGAAGTCCGACTACCTGCAGCTGCGGTTTCGTGATCAGTCTTATTAACGTCGTCTATATCGTTGTTATATAATAAATATTACTTTTAAGTTTTTACCTCGACCCATCTTTCTCGCGGCAGTTAAGTTGTGAGTGGCAACTTTCGAATGAATTGTATCGAGAAATGTATGAGCTGGTGAAAGCGACTGCCATCACGTGGAGACGTACACAAAGTATCGTTTGTATCCTCGCAATTTGTGTATGTGATCAAGGTTGTTAGAATAAATGATTTTCGATTGAAATTCGATTCTCGTACGTAATATGAAAGTTTGGGATTATATCATTATACATCTTTCAATTGTAATTTTATTGAATTCGACAGCATTTTTCCTCAAAAATACGATATGTTGACAAGTTTTATTAAATTAATCAATAAATTAATTAATTCACATTAATTAATATTTATATTGAGGAATAATAGAGTCTGTGTCGTCTGTCAAAAGATATTAAAATTTATAAATAAAAAGTATAAAATAAATTTCTGCTTTTTATGTCTTAATTGTTGTCTCCAAAAAACATAACTTACATAAAATATTAAAAATATATATATATATATATATACACTTTAATATAAGTTTTATTTTAACACATATTGCAACAGTCTTATTACGACATTCGATATCAATCTTGTGTGCAGTGCACAAATGTCCATACTTTCTCAGAGAAGTACGAATACTTTCCACATCGTAGCATGGTTGTTACAATCTCTTTTTTCTTGTTAAACCATAAAAATTACAGTTTGTCTCTTGTACTTTGTTTTTTTACACATTTACAAATGAATACTCCGTATTTTCATCGCCGCTTTAACATCGACAATGTTTTGTGTGAACGCAGAAATACGAGGCAATCGTATGTATACACACGCGTGACCTCTTCCGCATTGCGTAATTGCAATTGGCGAAGTCCTCGGTCGCTTGAGTGCAATTGCCGCGTTTTCCTAGTACGCACATGATCGGAGAAACTGATTGTACAGTCTATTAAAAAAGCATTAACAACAATCGGAACAAATTATGAAACTTTGCGCCATCTAATTCTTTTCGTAATTATAATTTTTTTTACATTTGCATAAGATTGATCAACGTGAATTAATTCTGTAGCAAATTAATTTTATTGTCAAATAAATTTGTTACATTATTCTAGGAACAAATATGTAAATATTAATCTGTCAACCTGTGAGTTATAAAATATTGCGAAAATCTTTAAATTATTTGCAGAAAGTAACGAATATGTATCATTACTTAAGCAATGCAAACCAATCAATTTCTTTTTTTATTGATTTGCAAAATATATATATATATCTTGTCGATATGTTTTGTTGGCGATGGATGAAAATCTATGAGAAAGCCAATATATGTCAAGAGATTTTTTATGTAGGCGCACTTTTGGGGACAGATGATAACAAATCATAAGATTATGAGTTAACTTTTATAAAAGGAAATAGTAGAAAGCTGACACATTTTTTTTAAATGCATGATAAATCGAAGTTTTACATCATAATATTATTAATTTAATAATAATATTGTATGATATCACAAAATTTATAAAGTTATTAATACAAAATATTATTCGATTTTTAATTGTTGCCGTGACAACATATAAGATTATTTTTTATTATAAATTTTAGGGATTTATAAATTTATAAAGAAATATATATTTATAAAAAAACATTATTTTATTAAACTAAATTAGAGCGTATTAAATTATTGTATGTATTAACTTTTGCATTTCGAAATATCTTTTTTTTTCAAGTTTTGCGCTATTTATCATTAAATAAAATTGATATTTATTTGACAGAAAAAGCATGTATATTTCCTTACATTTTATAAATTTTAATTTTAACGGAAACTATTTCCGTGTAAATTCTAAATTGATTATTTGTGTTATACTGTTACGTGATATACTATAAGCGAGAGTGCTCTATCTGCTTTATCATTCCTTCTGCTTAAATATATGTATTGGAATTAATAGCCTCTTCATTTTCTTCGCAGACGATTGTCCAAACTGTGTGGACGAGCATAGCGGCAGCTTGGCGGCCTCAAGATGGACGATGCCTCTGTTGAAGCTAGGAGAGAAGAGATACTATCTGGGGATCTTCTTCAAGGTATCGCTCCTGCCAGTTACGCTGATTTATCTAACCAAACCATCGACCCAAACCCGACTCTCTCTCTCTATCTCTCTCTCTCTCTCTTCCTTCTTCTCGGACTTTATCAAATTATTTCCGAGCTCGTAACTTTCCGGCTTTGCCATCACGGACGGTTTTATGGTGCATCGAATGCTGGGAACCAACGTAGTAAAGGTCTTTTCGGATAACAGTGACCCTGTGTTGGTTACGACACAACAAAGAAGCTCGCGTGATAAGAGAAAGAGAATGAAACACGTTATAAAAAAAACGATGTATGTGGCACGTAAAAGAAAATTGAAGGAGTTCCTAGCAAAAGTGATTTCAGGTTGTCAAACGTCAAACTATTATGAAGAAATTTTTTTTTAGTTATATATAAATACCTTTAACATTTTTTTTCAGTTTGACGCGTTTACATATAATTTTTCTCAATCTCTGATAATATTGATGGCAAATCTTCATACAAAACATATAATTAATTATATATTTTGTGCCTTATTTTTAATTATAATTTATTTGTCAAGTTTTCTTTTTATAAAATTTGCGACAGCACGAAGGCATGTAAATGTCTCGATGATTACGCAGATAATGCGTGATCTCACGCGAGTCTTTCAGAGCGCGACATTCCTGCTTTTGACATGTTTAATGCATATCCTTTCACGAGCGAACACAATCGTATCGATTAGGCTCACCCTTATTACGGCTTCTCGGATAATCTGAGCGCTTTTATTAACTCACGCGCGCTATTAACATGGATTTCGCAATTCCATCGGTACGGATCCGGCTTCACTGCGATCTTGTTGGAAGTGGGTGGTGTAAAGACGCTCGTATAAACGAACTTCTCGCAATAAAAGCGGGAAGAAGAGAGCAAGTGGCGTCTCTCTTTCCCTCTTGATCCGCCCTTTTAATTGAATCACATTGAAAACGAGCCGTCTTTGTTTCGCAAATAAATAACGACACCGTGGCTGTTAATCGAGACCTTGCGGAACAACTGTACCTCTGTAGTAACCAACTTTTCGAGTAAATTGACGAGAAGACGGAAAATTTTCTGGGTCCTCTTAGCAATAGAGAATGTTGCCTTCCTTGTTCTTTGATAGAAAACTTATTTAAGTTAGGTGAGTTAGTGGTTTCGGGGTCAAAGTCAAGTTTCTAGATTGCGCACCTTCCACTTATGCTCTAAAGATTCTTAAGTTAAAGTCTAGACTATGCTGTAATTTTCGAGATAACGGTAAAGAATTAGAAATGCTACACTAGCGTTTATAGATTAATTATAACGCTAAAATTTTCAATATTTCTATTTAATTTTGTCATTTTTGATAAAAAAGTTTTATCTGCTAAAAAATTAATAAGAAATCAGATAATGATTAGATTCTGCTTAAGAATTTTTATAATGCTTTTATTTTCTACACTTGTCTGCTCTATATGATGCTTACATCGTTCAAATGCTTATTTAAAATAACAATAAATGTTGAATTTTTATTGTTTCTGAAACATAATATTAATATTTACCAAAGAAAATTTATATACAAAAATATAATGTATCAAACTGCTTGTTTCACTGACAATGAGCAAGAATTGCACCCTGAAGCAAATTACATCCAAATAAATTTTATCTTTATTATTGTTTTTACAAACAAAAAAGAAATTAAACCTCAACTCACAATTTTAAAAAGATAAAAAAAATGTATTATAATTAAAACAGGAACACATAAAAATTTATTATTAAACTTTATAAAATTTTTTATATATAAAGAAATTTATAATATTTGTAATTTCAAAAAATATACTGTAATTTATAACACGCATACAGCTTTATTTTTTTAATTATTAGATTCTCATCTTCTTTCGCTACGATATGCGTTTTGCATCATGAAATATGTGTACAGATTCCGAAACACCTACATAGCTTGCCGTCGATTGTTACACACTGTTACTGTTTCGTTTAAGAAACATGAAGCGTGTTTGTCATGCACGAGTAACGATGGTTTCGTGCCGATGCAAGTGGAAAGGGAATGCAACGTTGGCTCCGGTGTAATCGCGAGACGACACGACGCTTCTATTTATTTTGTTCTTTATTTGCATTCCCAGCGGGTTACATGCGATTTTTCGCATCCTACACGTTTTTTCTACTCTGTTCCGTGTAAGTGCCTTCGGCCGAATCGCCCAAAAAAGCGTCGAGATAGCAACGGCGAAATTCGGCATCATTGACGTTGATAAAATACGAAAGATAATATTTACTATGCTCTTGAATTATTTTTTTTTGGACGACTAACCGGAAAGTATACACATAATATATACGTTTTGATAAATACATCAAATACCGTTACAACGAATAATAATTTATAAACGTTGCAAGAGAAAATATGCAATGATAATTTTAGAGATTTCATATCATAAAGCAATTAAAGCGAAGATATTTTTTTCTTATAATTATAATAGCGATAAACATTATAGGAAGAATATATGTAAGAGACTATTATATAAAAACTTTGATAGAATTCTGTTTAAAACAAATTAATTTGGAATGATACAAATTTTTGTTTTAACCTTATATTACAAATAATTTACATAAATTTATTAACTATTGATCATTACCAACAATGTTAAATCGAGTTTTTAATTAATTAGTTTAAGGTTCACAAAACATACAAAATATATCAAATTCTCTCTAAATTGGGACAATTACTTTATATAAATATTTTGTGAATTCTTATAAGTGAGGGTTTTATTATAGATAATAATGAATATTTTATTTATATAATATATCATAAGACATTATATTCAGATATTATTTATTTATAATATTTCTCTAAAATAATGAAATAAATCGTTTTATTAATAATAATAATGTGATAAATGTAACATGTGAGCTACAATAATAGTCGGCAATTTTAAGTCAATTAACATAATATTATTATTGCGAAATTTTGTCTGAAAGAACATGATCATTTTGCGGGATTATCAAAATATCCAGAATATATGAAAAGTCTCTCGCTGTTCGTCTAGTAGAATGTGCCGTGCAGTTGCTGCATAAACGCGTTTCATAAGCTGCATTGTTGTTTCCACGGAATTTCAAGCGGATAATCCAGTCTCTCGGTAAACGTGCATTATATGTCCTAATTATACAGATAAGAAACTTGAAAATCACAAATAGCCGTATAAATTCGATCTATATTCTACTATTTTTTCTCGCATGATTTTGCGTATGATTGGTGAGTATTGCAAGAATATATATATATTTTTTTATTAAGAATTCTGTAAATATATTTAAGAATAATGTATAATATTTTGCACTTAAATGATCACTTGCAGTAATTGAGCGCAAATGCTACTTTATAATTCCGAGTTGTCAGGAAGATTTTTAATGCTCGTAAAGGACTATTTTGCTGCGAAACCAACGGTACTCGCAAAATGCCGTCGCGTCGCCGTAAAAAACACACAATATAGTATGACTGACCCACAAGTTATCTACGATAATCGATATATATTGCGCGCGCGACACGTAATATTGAAATTCCCAAATATAACTTTACACATTGTATCACCGGATTTTTAAACCACAATAAAATATAACACGCAAATTACTAGCGAATATCTGGGCCATTTTAAGTAGTATAGGAGTGAGATAATTCAAACAGTATTACATTGATAATTTCACTTAATTAAAGACACAAGCTGTACATGATGATTTGTAATAATCGTAAAGAAAATAATAATTAAAAATAATGAAAAATAAAGAAATGAAAAAACTTGGATCCCAAACATTCTGGAAAAAGTTTGAAACTATTTAAAAAAATTGTGACAAAATTTTGTCTGATTTTTATTAAGAAAGAACAAGCTCTCTTTTATTAATAATGATTATTTTATAATTTAGGATTGTGTTCGCAGCAGAAAAATATTGTTATTGGCAATATTTGTCTTTTTATATGTACAGAAAAGCAGTAATTCAAACTATACTTTTATATTTAAAAAAGAAACTGTATTCTGTATTCGATTCCATTTAATTATTTACGGAAAAATAATCTTTAGTCTATATAGCTTGCTGGATACTTTATTGAAAATTTGCGTATGATAATTTAATTTACTGTAATACTATGGATTATTAACAAGTTAAATTGAATAGATTTCATTACATATCAGTAATATTCCAAACATTGTTCTCGAATATGATCTCTCGTAATCGGTATCAGAATGGTGATTATGTAACCTTAGTGTGAATATCAATGTGAGCTCATACTATGTACGTGCCGTTATTAATGTCGATCAATCTGTTGCAATGAATGACAAACACGTACACGTTATATGTTAGCATTAAGGGCAGCTTACTTAAACGCTACAATTTACTTATACATAATTTATCAATAGCTTCACCGTTTCTCTTTATTATAATTAGTATAGAGATTTAATGTAAATTTAATTATAACACTCCTCTTTCACGATTATCCGTTTTGCGATTATTTGCCATTTACAATTACTTAACCTATTATTTAGCATTATATAAATTATTTATGCATTGTTTGTATAACACATTGGGTGTTAACAATACAATGCAGCATTCACGAATATTAATGAATATTAATGACAACACTTGCCCCACACAATAATACATTGATTTTTAATTTATTTTAAATGTAATATATAGGTAAGTATGTATATGCGTCATCTTTAAATGTATTGTACAGAGTTGTAAACGTTACTTTATCTCTGCGTCGTAGGCAAACTGGTACAGAGCTTCGCAATATTGCCGTTATCACGGAATGCATCTGGCAAGTATAGCTTCACAGGAGGAGAACGACAGGCTTGAGAAGCATATCAAGGACTTCGGTCTTGGCCATGAACACTTTTGGACGTCCGGCACCGATCAGGCTGAGGAAGGAACCTTCTTCTGGATGGCGAACGGCAGGCCGATCACGTTCGAGAATTGGAACGTCGGCGAACCGAATAATTTCCGGTAAGAATGCTTTAGTCGCGAACAATTTACATTCCTTCTGATATTGATCGCGATTCTCCTGTTGCGATATAATTGACTTCAAATCGTCGAATATCGGAGCTCAATTTCCGATAGATTTGTTGTTCGTTTCCTTGCTTTATCTATAATATATTTATATGCGACGTCGTTCTCTGTTGAAAAAAAGCATTGATTCCATTGAATTTGAAAAAGATTACTTTAATTCTTGCAATATTTTTAATATATCTCTACATTTAATGATGATATATTTATAAAATATAAAATTTCAAATTCTGAAACGATGTCGAAACGCAAAACACACATGTTAAAAAAAAAAAAAAAAGAAAAGTTCTCTGGATTAATTTTTGTTTTGGAAAATAGACTTTGAAGATCAGAGAAAATTAAATACAAAAATAGTCAAATGTTTAACGAGCCAGGATTACGGGTTTCCGATTAATCCGATCGAGCTGAAATTTAGCAGGGATTTTTTTGTGAATTGGAAACAATCTAGGAGAAAATTCGAAAAAAATTATCAAGATGAACAAATAAGGATTATTCTCTAATATATATATATATATTATTAGACGATTTATTTCTTGGTGTGACGAAAGAAAAATACGCAAACTTTTCATAATGTTCATACTCGCGCTTAGATACGAGAATGGCGAAGAAGAGCATTGCCTGGAGCTCTGGAACAGGGACGGCAAAGGGCTCAAGTGGAACGACAGTCCCTGCAGCTTCGAGACTTTCTTCGTCTGTGAAGTGCAGTGATGAGTTTGCGCGAACGGTAAAGGAAAGGGAGGAAGTACACGTGCGAGTGAGCATTTGCGCGACTCGTGACGTGTTCTCAGGATGATCCTCGAGAAAGCTGCATTCTCGTTGGTCATCCGTTTGTTTTGGAGGACTTAACAAGGGAGAAAGAGAGGGAGAGAAAGAGAGAGAAATTTGAAATGTGACATGTGCGCTCGGACTGAAAACTACGCGCGATTAGCCGGTAGCTACCGTTGTCACGTTTTCCGCATCCGGCATTTACGTGTGCGTGAAACGACATCCAGTTCAGTCAGTTCTTTCCGTAAAAGTATCACCAGGCGACATACCTAGTGTCGGATAAATCCGCACTGTCAGATGATAAAAACGATTCGCTCATCTTTTGTGCAGAAGCGGTTCTAAACGCGCGGATGTAGTTTATATGCAATATAATTTGGGTTTTTACGTACTTTTTTAAAGGTCTTATTTTAAATTTATGTAAAATTTAAAGGCAAATATATATATATATATATATATATATATATATATATTTATATTTTTCTTTATAGAAAGCATGAATGTTGGACTACTTTTTGCATTTTTATATATTTCAATGGTAAAATAATTTACAAACATTACAGCTTCCGTTAAAATTTACAGCTGTTTATAAAAAGAAAAGATTTTCAACAGAATAAGATAGCCATTTATATACTTGCCGAGATTTTTATAAAGTTCTTGTAACTGCACATCGATGCGCAAAATCTTTATTGCAATTGAAGAATCAATGAACTAATATAACTTCAAAGTTTGGATATTACTCTTTATTGACTTAAAATAAATAAAAATTTTAAAATATTTAAATATAAATATATCGCTATAAATTATATTCTTATATTTGTTAAATTATTAATACTAACACTGTTACGAAATGACTTATCTGTGAAATGACTTATCTGTGTAAAATAATTGACTCTTGAACTATCGATTCTTCGATTATAGCAAACCTGAAGGCTTTTGACGCATGGTGATATTGTATATTATTAATTAATTCTCCAATTAAATGTAGGTTAATTAACACGTGTATCCTAGATATTAAAAGCGTGTCGTAATCGCTAAATGAATTACGACCAAACGTGCATGAAGAATTATTTTAATCGCGTAAACATTGTTGCAAAGAGAAATATGTTTTTATCATTGAATCAAAAATTAGTTAATTATTTTAGCGATTAAGATAGCGTCGGACTCAGTTCACCGATTTATGCACGAAATAGTTAAACCGAATAATTTTTCTTGACACCTACTAATTTCATGAGTGTATGCAAAACTTCACTATATTTTAGTTTCTTGTTTCTTAAATATGTGTCACCTATAAGTAATAACATATATGTATATAAATATGCAAGTGTATATATTAAACCGCAATAAATAGTGATCAACTTTGCGAGTATAATATTGCTAGTAGTATGAATAAACCAAAAGATTCTAGTGATGCTGCAATGCATTCTGATATTGAGAAATGCAATCGTTTAAATACTTATCATATGTACATTCACTGTTAGAAAATTCCTTTGCAACACATATCTTTAATAAACAACAATTGCGTTATTATCTTGACGATTCTAACATTCATCGATATAATTTACTACTATGGAATTATTTTTAATAAATCTCTGTACGTTATTATCTTTGTAGCTTTTTGAATTTAAAAATTAATTATATGAATAAATATATGAATATCCAAAAATCACATTTTTATGCTTTGTATTCAAGATTTGAGTTGCTAACTTTTTAAATTTTTGAATATTTAAAATTATCAAGAGCATCCTTATATGCTGTGTATGCATTTTGAGCTCTTGACGATCTGCGTAATTTGAAGAGTAAATTTAAATTTCATATTTCATAATTAAACATTTTTCCTGATTTTATATTTCTTTACAGATTATTTTTAAAATAAAAAATATAAATCTTCTATGCTTATTATCTTTACTACTATAAATATAAACAAGTTACGGATATAAATAAATAAAATTTAATTTGTTTGACAATATAACGGTTGCGATTTGCATTAATTAGGTAACGGTATAAATAAGCATTGAAATAAATTCTGCATGGACAGTAATTAGCCGTCGTGGTAAATGAAACGAGAGTTCGTCGTTGTATTCTATATGTATTCGCCGTGCATCAGAAATTTCACAGGATAATGTTGTACATGGCATTATTTAGCGCTAAATAATAAAATCAAAATTATACCCTGATACACGTCTTTCCATTCTTTGTATCTTTAAACCTCTTTCACTGTTTTTCATTTATTATAATATATTATTAAAGCTCCAATGGTGAATATTCCTATCTTTTTCGCTTGTTTATTAATAAAGAATTGAGAACATTTACACGCTCATTTTAATATTAAATATAATTTGTGAAAACTGGTTTTGAATTGTGTATCACGAGTCTCTCAATTAATTAATTCATCCATTTTCTGATAAATTCCATATGAAATATTATTATTCCATTTTCGAAATTACTTCAGCAAAATATCGTTTGTTCGTAAATTATTTATATGGATATGCGAGAATTGGAAATGGTACACATAAAGTATGTTATTATTACATTTTACACACACACACTTATTACATCAGAAATAAAAAGGTAAATATTTTAGTAATTATAATAATTTATTTAACCACGATTTTTTTATTCTCTTCAGTCTTTTCTCTTTTTCCTCTCTTCATACATCATTTTAGTTACATATATATTTTTCTGATATTTTATATCTAATTATTTTTTTTTGCAATACGTCTTATTAAATTTAATAGTGCACTCTACAGTTATTTAGTTGTCTTATTTTTAATTAAATTTTCTTTATCAAGGAAAAAATGTGTGTGCGGTAAAAATTTACTTGTTTTTCTCGCAAAAATATTAAATATTTAAAAAATTATTACAATAAAAAAAAAATCAATGTTTCGTATTTATATTGAAAAAAAAACTAAATTTTGAAATCTCTATATTAAATCTTAAATGTAAGATTAATCTTGACTAAATTTTTATTTAACTTTAGTAATATTGAATTAGTAGAAAAAAGAAAATAGAACATTCGCGTTGCTCTAATAAAATTACAGTGAAATGTTACTATCGCTGCGAATCTTTCCGGTCGAGCTTTGGCATTTCAACAGAACTCTTTCCACCTGGATGTCCCGCTTCCTTTTCTCATCTAGATTGACAGAACCAATTAGTAGTTCTGTCGATTTTTCGCCATCTCTGGGAAACATCAGTGTCGAAAGCAGAGAAAGAAGAAAATGAGTTGAACGGAGAAGAAAATAGAAAGGGGTTGAAAGAGTCGTTGGGTATCTGAAGGGTAGAATAAGAGAAGGGTATGTAACGAGATCGTGCGTCGTAGATACATAGGTATAACGTTACATAAGACGTTGCCATAATCGAGTAAAATAAATTTCGCTGCGAATTCGCGTCTGCAATTTCCTGAGGTAAAATTACGTTGCAGGTCTCAGTATTAAAGCACATCATAATTAATGGTTAATATAATAAAATTTCCAAAAAACATAAAAAGAGCGTACAATAGATAAATTAAAATAAATATATATGTGTATATATACACCGTAAAAAATTATTTCTGTCATTTAAATTGCTTCTTGGTATAATTATTAACGAAAAATAAATTCTTCTTCAACTCGCTTATTTTTTACAGAGTTCATAAATACGAGTAACAACATCTCCGCGACAATAGAGTCATGTGCGTACCGGGTAAGCATTTTTCATATCTCCACGTAGCCTCGTTCATATTGTTCGAGAATACGCCGATTCTATGCTTCGCCTTTCGTTCAGTCGTTCGTTTTGCACACGTATGAGCGATAAAAGGAATAAAAAGGAACGCGAGGCACGCATCACACTTTGGATGAATTTAGATTCGTTTTATTTGTGAGCCGCTCGTTGGACCGGTACGCCATAACGAGAAATTTATGCCACGGGACTTTATTTAGGTGGCAATAAATGCAGATTCGTGCCGAGGAGATGCAACGGGGTATTCCGTAGGGGGCTGTAAATGCAACGTGCAGTATGCAACAATGCGCTTACAATACAATGCGACAGTGAGGTCGCTGTTGTTCTTTATGGCGTGAACCCATCGTAATACGATACGATGTATATGAAATCTTTAGCATGCATCCGCCGTGGCCAAGTTCTCAGATTTTTATCGGAAGATCGTAGCGCGATTCTTCGCGATAGTTTTGCCTCTATTGGCGCCGTTATGGCCGCGAAACCTATTCGCGAGTTAGAAAAAAATTGCACATTATTTTTAGATTTCAGATAAATTATAAAGCAATTTAATTTTATGTATTATTTTGCATAAATCGTGTAAATTACAATCGTTGACTATATAAGAGTAAACATGTTTTAACGTCGCCTTTGGCGGTTTGATTTTGGATTACATATAAAAATTTAAATGAGAAGTCATATATATGGAAATTAATATGAATTTTTTTTATAATGTAAAACCAGCAAATTTTATACTTTATTCGTGTATTAATTTATTTAAATAAAGAATGAAAAAATATACATATAATGCAATTTGCATTTTACATTAGATTAATTTTTTTTATTGGGTATATTATTTATAATTTAAATAGAAATTTATTTTGACAATTAATCGTAACATTTATAAAAATAAATATTTAATAAAGATTGAAATATTAAAATCAATATATAAATTTTTTTAAGGTGATACTTTTATTGTGCATTTGATTTTTATCCATATTATTCAACTTTCTAAATTTCTTGAACTCTTTTTAAATTATTGAACTCTTCTTTTCTTTTATCTCTTTACCAGCCATCGATGAATCAAGAATCGCCAATTCCAGCAATTGATTCTCAATTCCTACAATTGATAATAATACTTTGAGAGTAAGTATACATATTAACGCAATAAAATATTTGCATAAATTAAACATAAATGTAAGTGTAGATAATATAAAATAATTAAATGTTCACAAATAAAAATGTATATAAAAAATATGGAAGAAATAAGTTAATGTGTAAAATTTGCATGTTTCATAAATAATAAATTATTATATTATAATGTATACTATATAAGAATCATAAATGAGAGACTATCTTGTGATATTCTGAGTACTCGAATTTTATTTGTATATATATATATATTTTTTTTTTTTTTTTAAATAGATTGAACAATTCATATATTAAATGTTTATTTAGTTTTTATATTATATTGCTATTTGAATTTATTTTAACGATTTCTGATCTATTGTAATTTTTGTCTAGCACATATATTACGTGCTATCATATTTTGCATTGGTTCAATTTCACATGAGAAGGAATATAGAACATACTGAAAAGGATGAGAGCTTGATTAAAAAGCAGGAGCAATAATATACAAAACAACAATGTTTTATTGGAAACAACATACAATCACGTGCCACGTATGTTCCTTATAAGCCCTTATCGTTCGCGCGT